CGTCACCTTCCTGTGGATCTGGCCCACCATGCCGGTCCAGGTGCCATTCGCGAGGGGGGCGCCCCAGTACCCGTCCGGGGGGCGGGTGAGGGTATACCTGTGGGCGAGAAAGGGTGCTGAGAATATTGTCCTTTTTAGGGGAATGTGATTATCAGCCTCTCTCTCTCTCTCTCTCTCTCTCTCTCTCTCTCTCTCTCTCTCTCTCTCTCTCTCTCTCTCTCTCTCTCTCTTCTCTCTCTCTCTCTCTCTCTCTCTCTCTCTCTCTCTTTATACACACACACACACACACACACACACACACACACACATATTATATATATATATATATATATATATATATATATATATATAATATATACTTATCTACCTATCTATCTATCTATTTATCTATATATCTGTATAATGTATATATACATAAAATCAATAATTAGAGAGATACAGTAGTGACTAAAGGGAAAGGAATTTTTGCATACTGAATGACAATAAATTAATTTGCACACAGCCTTTGAGTGTGTGTGTGTGTGTGTGTGTGTGTGTGTGTGTGTGTGTGTGTGTGTGGTGTGTGTGTGTGTGTGTGTGTGTGTGTGTGTGTGTGTGTGTGTGTGTGTGCGTGCTTGTGTGTGTGTGTGTGCCATTTGTGAATGCACGAATAAAACCACAACTGACGAAAAGTTCATAGCCTCCGCCAGCGCCTCCAGCAGGCTGAACATCGGCCCCTCCATGCTGAAGGTCCCCGGTTCCTCGCCCTCCGTCACCAGCAGGTGCGGCGGCCAGTGACCCCCTGTCACCACCAACGACACTTCCTCCGTAAACCTGAGAGTAAAATAAACTTCGAGTAAGTAAGTCACAGGAGACGAATTAAGGTGCTGTCACACTAGACCTTTTTTCCGTCAATTTTTTTGACAATTTTCTGAAATTTTGTCCTTTTTTGGGCGAATTGTCGATTTTCCAGTCAGACGATAATGATCGTTTCCGTCTGAAAACCTTTCCGTCAACTTTTTCAGCCAAGCAAAGTCAAATCAAGAGCTATATTCGAGAATGTTTGTATTTAAATAAAATTGTCAAAAATTGACGGAAAAAGTGTTAAAGTGACAGCACCTTTACTCTCATAGGAGTTATCAATCGAAATTAACATAAAAATAATAATAATGATAATAATAGTGATAATAATAATAATAATAAATAATAATAATAATAATAATAAAATGATAATATAGTAATATAATAATAATAATAATAATAATAATAATAATAGTGATGATAATAATAATAAATAATAATAATAATAATAATAATAATAATAATAATAATAATAATAAACCAGGTCATGTGATTCAAGAGAAGCGAAGAGTTTAAAGGTAAACAAAATAGTACCTGAATGTATCTGGATGATTTCGGACACGTGACAAAACATCGGGTTTCTTCAGAATGTCGTTAAGTGACATGATTCACCTGGAAAAAAAAAAAGAACGAAAGGAAAATGAGAAGAGGAAGAAAAACAGAAATATATATAATAACGAAAGGAAAAGGAGAAGAAGAAGAAAAACAGAAATATCATGTTACGTTAAACGGAATATGAACAGGTCTTGTTTCATTTATAATAGATTTTTAGCTTCTAAGAAAACGTTAAACTAATCATCACAGCAATCAGTTTCGAATTTTTTTAACACCGACTAAAAATAATATCTTAATCATGGTTGTAATCATTTTTAAATTATATGACGATTAAAAATAATTTGTTTTGTTTTTTCATTAAGCACGATCGCTTAATATTTTTGCTTTGTCAGTATCAATCTAAAAAGTTGAATAATTAATCATTAAAGCAGTGAAATATAAAAAAATACGAAATTAATAAAATATATATGATCACTAATTGCAAAAAAATAATTAGTAACTTTAAAGTTGGCAAAATGACGACAAAGATACTGATTAACATGATTACGTGTGTATTTCACCTCCATGGTAATATTTCACTGGTTTATTTGAGTTTCAGTGTAATGCGGAATGAAAAAAAAAATCAGGTAGCAGTACCTACAGCTCTAGTGTGGGCGAGCATTAGCTGGTAAAGGGCACTAATATCATATGTTAATTGTATATCTCGACCTAAATTTATATTAATTATATCTAAAACAGTAGGTTGGTAGCAATGACTAGAGACTTTGCATAATTAACGTTATTATAGTTATTTTATTTGTCATTAGTAGCCTTGAATAGCTCTCGTCTACGTGTTATTTGGTATCTAGTTCAAACAATATGAATTGCGACTTTTTGTATGTTCAGTATAGCAAAAAATATTTCTGTTTTGTGTCTATCTTTCGATTCTTTAAGAACAAGGTAAGATAACAGTTTCGGCATCTTTTCGACCTCTAATTTTATTTCTAATCCCATATCATAACTCTTCTATCCAGTGTCTCTCTCCCTCCTCCTCCTCCAGTGAAACATCAGCGAACCTCTCTAAAAATCACAATGACAACAACAATTTTAAAGACATGAAAACTCACTATAAACCTAATTAGTAACCAAAATACATTTTTTTTCCAATACCTAAGACCTCTTACCTTCCTCAACCGAAGCTCCAACACTCGCCCCGTCCCAGCACGTACTAACCACGCACCATTAGACTAAGGACAGACCAGCACATTACGCCTTCTAAACTCCTGAATGGCTGTCGATAAGGTCACAATGGTAGTTTATCGATATGATCTACAAAAGGCGGTCACACTCACTGATGACTCTTGGCAACGGTCTGTAAATAAAGGCGATTCGACGCGGAAGCCAAAACGTTTTCTGCTGAAAGGGGGAACGCGAGTAATGACGTTTGCAATAGGCGTTCCTGTGTGCCGTTCTTCTGTGGCTAAATTGCGTTTGCCTGAATGCTGTTGGATTAGAGTGGACATGGTAGTTATGGTTATTTATTCTTCACACACACACACACGCACACACACACACACACACACACACACACACACACACACACACACACACACACACACACACACACACACACACACACACACACGCACGCCTGACAAAATAACCTATTGTCAGGCACCTCGACTATTCATATGCTGTCAATTAATTATCGACGGCTTGATGTTGGCAGAAGTTACCCGCGATCAAGTGCTTTCAACGTGGAATTCGTCATTGAGAATTGAGTCACGGGATAATCCCTTGTAATGGCTCATGTATTAGACACACGTTAGTACATATACGAACGCACACACACACACACACACACACACACACACACACACACACACACACACACACACACACACATATATATATATATATATATATATATATATATATATATATATATATATATATATATATATATATATATATATATATATATATATATGTATATGTGTGTATGGGTAAGTTCACCATAACATACCATTATATATATATAATATATATATATATATATATATATATAATATATATATATATATATATATATATAATATATATATATACATATATATATATATATATATAATATATATATATATATATATATATATATATATATATATATATATATATATATGTGGGGGGGGGTATGTTATATATATATATATATATATATATATATATATATATATAATATTATATATATATATATATATATATATATATATGTCGAGATCATTATTTATTCATTTAAAAAGCAGTTTCTAATTTTTAAGATGTACGTTCGTCACTGAAACATTTGTTTACATTTCTTTTCTTTTTTTATCTAAAGGCATATCAATATAGCAAAATTTAGCGTTATAACAAATAAGAGTAAATTATAATAATCATTTATAAATGGTTTGTTTGTTTAAATGTTAGCAATTGCACCGGCAGTGTTATATGTTTGATTTTTTTCTTTCCTTTCATTTGCAAATCCACAAAAGGAATTTTAAGCCTATTGTTTACTCGCTGTGATGTCACACAATTTCGGTCTCTGATTAGACAAGAGTCTACTATACTGCAATTACTATTGTTACAATTATTGTTATTACTATTCCTATTATTATTACTACTATTAATGTTACTATTATTATCAACACTGTGGAGGTTCTTCAAACCTCGCCTCTGGGAGACGTTGCAGAATCCAGAAGGGGTGTGCAGATAATCTCCATTTCCCCTGCGCAGAACACTGGTGTTTATTGTTTTTATCCCTACTCCTTTTTAGTTAAGTTACCCCCTTTTTAGCTCCATTTTCTATGTTGTGTCGATCACGTTTTCTTAATTTGTTTCGTTCTTTTAAGTAATGATTGATGTATTTTTTATTGTTTGTTCTTAAAGTTTACCGCCTTAATATTTAGTTCATTGCTATTAATCAGTTTGATAGTCATTTTAATTGTTCATTTTTAGATTAAGATTTATTTTTTCGTGTTCTTATCGATTTGTTCCATTTATAGATGATCATGACGGGGTTTGTCCTTTTTATTTTGTAAACTTGTCATTTACTTATATGTGTTTGCATTGTGGTTTTATGATTTTACCCTGTAATTGATTTTATTCATGTTTTACGTTTTTCAAATCGTCCTTTTAGCTTTTTAGGGATGTCAATGACGTTTGTACTTTTTAACATGCTTTATTTTTCAATGGTTTTAATTATTTGTCTTAATCTTTTTACCTTTATATCATCCCTGGTTGTTTTTCTATAAACCTTAAGTTTTTTTTCAGAAATTGCTGAAAATGAAGGCAATGACGTCAGCAGCAAAACATTAAAGAGAGATCTATCTGAACCTGTGTTTATGTAAATCCTTTTCTGGATTTACTTCAGTCTGAGACGTTAGCAGAACAAAGGTTCTACTGAGCATACTTCCCGTTACTTGCCTAGGTTATTTGCTGGTCGCTGTCTTTTTTATTTTGTTTTTATGTGATTTATTCAAGTGTTTTTTAACGTATTTTTACACGAATTCCTTCTGGATTCGCCTATTCTGGTATTACTTTTAACGTCAGTTCCCTTTTAAGCGTCGTATTTGACATTTTATTCCTTT